TTTGTAATTGGCTCTTGCAATAACAAAAACACGAGAAGTGTATTTTTTGCATTAAAAACATTTCTTACTTTAAGATCATTCGATTAAAACTGACCATATATTTGTGTGTGTGGTGAAAGAACAGTTTTTCCTTCAGTTCAAAAACTGACAGTCCCAAAACTGAAGATTGCATCGTTCGAGGTAACTGCATTGTGTGTGGCCTGACAAAGTTTAGATCTTCAGTTCAGATCGTGTAGTCCTAGAACTACCGGCTAACATATAAACAATATTATTGCCCTCTATTATGAGGCGCAATATTTCGTATCTATCACCTCTCATCACATGACCCAGGTATTGCATTTTTTTTCCTTGATGGTGTTCATTATCTCTTTTTGTTTCTGCATGCGCTGGAGTACTTCGTTGGTGATCCATTGTAACCATGAGATTCGCAGCATCCGTCTGTACACATACATTTCGAAGGCTTCTATTCTCTTTTCGGTCTGCAAATTTAGTGTCCAGCTCTCACATCCATAGAGTTCTGGGTTCCGCACTGAGGTCTCGTCTTGTAAAAAAATGATTTCATACTCACGAAGATTTTTCTCGCTTGCTCAGTTCTTGAAAATATTTCTCTTTTCGGGTCGCACTGACTATTGATGTTAGCTCCTAAATACTATCCTTTTTTACTTGATCTTACTTTAATATCCTTTTTACTTGATCAATAAAAATCCTTCCACTTGTGTTATGTTTTTATGATTATTATAATTACTAAAATCGAGCGTTTTGTGGTATATTTTAGGATAGGTACTTTAAAAGATATATATCTAAATTGGGGTCGGCATCCAACCCAGTTTAGATTAAACAATGACAATAAGATAAGCTAAATGAAGACTGTTATAATCTCAAACGATTTCTGGAGGATAGATGGAAGAGAAAGAACAAGATTGGGGTGATATTTTTTTTTGGAGGCGGAGTATTTTGGCGAAGAATATTTAAAAGTTCAGGAGTAATAAAAAATGTCTTTTTATAACTCAAAGAAATATTACTTTCTGGAGTTTCTAATATTACTTTAATATTTTCGATCTTTCAATATGAATCAAATAAGGGAGATATTTCTTTATAAACGTTCAGTATGTCGCCGGATTGTCTTTACAGGAGGAAAAACTTTTAATATTAACTTTTTGAGAAAAATGCATTCTTCATAAAGTTCTCCTTGCTCTAAAATGGTTAATTTTGTTTAAACTTTTTCAAATTTCCATACTGTTTTAGAAAAAGTAAGAAATATGAAAATATAGTTAAATTTTATGAAAATCCTAAAAATTAAAATATGTTTCTGTGGTAATATCATCGGGTTTGTTCTTTGATAGATGGATATTATTAATTTTGAATAATATCATATATTTTGCTGCTTTAAAATGTTAAAAAAGCACAAAGTTTATTACTTTGTGCATCTTTAACATATTAAAGCACTAAATAGATAAATTTCTGAAACGACAACTTCATTTGACAGTTATCTTTTACGTTGACTGGTGCTCATAAGTAAATACAGGGCCATAAGAAAGGAGAAATATTTAAAAAGAAATCGGCGATAACTCGTAAACGGGCTAATCAAAAATATCTAAAGTTATTCTTTTGAATGTGGGTTTTAGTGCTCTTCAATAAACCTAAATAGATTTATTCTCTAAAATAATTAGGGAAGCCAATAATTGACCCCATTAAAATTTACATTGGATTTCCTATGTCCCGCTCGACGATGCAACACCCGGTATGTGTTTTGATACCCTTTTTTTTAATTTTTCGAAAGAAAAATCAGATTTTTTTAAAATTTTTTGTTAAAAAAAACCTAATATCTTTTAAATTTAGAAAAACGAAAATCCAGAAAAAATCCAATGGTTGGTTCTCAAAATTTAAGCAAAAAATTATTTTTTAATATCAGAGTAAAATAATTCGATTAATTTTTCTTTTATTGTGATCTACCAGCCCTGAAAATAGTTACACTTTATTGGCTTACCCTATATAACTAGAATCCAGGGACAAGTACTGTCACAGGTACTGTAGTAATGTAGAATAATACGTATAAACAATCTATTATTATTATATGAGACGTCTTTATTATATTATGACAGAGAACTGGATTTATATTAAAATAAAAAAAAATAATACAGATTTATAGGCATGATGTTTTATACGTATAGGCTCTTACTATTTGATGTTTCGGCTTGTATAGGTATACGAAAGGTAAATACCAGGAAGTTGATCAATGGATACAAAGGTAAATAAATATAGCCTTCGTATTAGTTTATTGCTTTTAACAGGTAGAATCCATAGATAGACAATTTCCATCTCATTCTCGCCTGGCCATCACACCATCACCATACTTATAATTTTTAATGATCCCCAGTGCCGTGCAATACGAAAATTATTCTATTTTTATTTTTTTCTATGAAATCGATTTTTCCTGTATAATTATTTAGTACGGTTCTGCATTATTTGTTTGATATATTTATGTGACCCGTAAGATGCGATAGCCTCAAAAAAGCGATAAAAAAGAAGAAACATTTGCATACAAAATTAAATGCTATTATTCAACTTGATTTGCAAAATGAAATTTAAATATCGTTTATATGTTCAATATTCTTGGGATATTTATTATAATAAATACCACAACATTGGAAATATATTCGGTACCAATTAAACTTTTAGTTACGTAATCGAGGGCGCGATTTTTAAATTCATTGTTGCCAACCATGGACATATTCGGCGTCGGGCTGACTAACTGGAATTTAATTTTCCCGCTGGGGATCCCGTTGGTAGTTGTGCTGTTAAAAATGTCAAGTTGCCACATTTATTTATTTATTACCTGACATTGTCATTTGTTTTGACAATTTAGTTCTGTATTTCGAGTTTTTGGTTTAAATGAATTGTGTTGTCATACTTTAAATTTAATATTTTTTACTAGCAGACCTTGCAGTCGAACATTGTTCTTTTTAGAACCTTTTTTAGTGCGAAGTGCACAAGATAGCTTAATAGCCAATGCAAAAAACTCATCGCAACTTGTAACGTTTTTAGTTCGTTACATGTATTTCTTATATATGATTTATATGATGCCTGGCGTATCATCACCGGATTCCGTATCGTTCAGGCCTGATAATTTATTTGGCACGCCTGGCGTAATTTTTACATTCCCTAGTCGCCAACCCTGCTATCGTGTCACTGTTCTGTGGAGGCGCGCGCTGTCAAGATCCTTGTTATATGTCAAGGCGCCTCTCTGCGTTTTAACCTCACTTTGTTTTTGGCCGGTTGCAAATCCTGCTTTTAGAAATGGCAATTTAAATCTTGCTGCAAAATCTGAATCAGCTGCCATTTCGAAGCTACAGGTAAAGATGAGTTATTATCTTTTATAGATTCGATATTATTATTGAATATGTTTAGGGTAGAGTTTTGGATTGACCCACCTTAACTCGTATTTGTGTTTTGCTGACACGTTGGTGTACTTTTGCAGTTGTCCTCCAGAATGTTAAATGGAAGAAAGGACAGTTCTTTTGTTTATTATTGAGCCCTCGGAAGTGTTTCGAGGTAGGTTTGTTTTGTTTATTAGACCTTGTTTGGTTTTAAACAAGAGTTTCGTATTTTTAGGGTCTTATGGACGTACATTATCTTATGGACGTACATTGTCTTATGGACGGCCTGTGTCCAAGGTACGGGTAGTGTTCCCCTGTACCGTTATCTTATGGACGGACTGTGTCCAAGGTTATGGTTCAAGTTACGGACATTATCCAAGGTCCTAGTAGTGTTCCAAAGTACGGGTAGTGTCCCCATATTGCCACAGTATGGATACAGCGTAAGCCCCATGCTGCTTCGCTCTCATTTCTAAGCCTAGTCAGTAGCTACGGCTGTATTGATTCATGGTGTCCTCATTCTGGCCCCTTTTGTTGTTTTGGCCAACAGGATCGCCGACAGACAGTACAGAGATATGAGCCTACCTCAAGCTGCTACTCTTCGAAACAGGATTGCCTCAAGAACAGCTAAGTGTAGATTTAGGTTCTGATTTTCAGTCGATTTTCAGTCTTAACTTAACGTACATTTTAAATATTATCGTACAGACTATATTTAGTGGTTAGATTATTAAGAACATTTATGTCGATTTAGTATTTAAAATATGATTTAGATCTTAGGTTTCATTACATTATGTCTTGTAATGGTATTACTTTTATAGATATTTAGTACAACTCTTAACACCACTTTCTTTGACATATAACCACTATATATTCACTAGAACTCTACAATGTCATGTATCAGCAAAGAACATCATGAATACATATATATATGTTTTCTTTCTCTATACATGCCTGGCGCCCAATATCTGTATTTTTTTGTTTATTGTTATTGATTGGTTTTCTCTCTAGTGAAATACCTTATCCACGACTGCTCTCCGATGAAAAGCTGCCGTTCGCAGTGGTAATGTTTTATAAAAAACGCTACAAACTTTATTAGGATATTTTGAAAAGCGGTAATAATGGTCCTTTATAAGTGCTGTTAAGAAGGCGAGTTTTGTTGATGAAAAAATAACTGTTTATATATTTATAATTAATTTATTTTTGTTTCCTAAAATATTTTGATTAAAAGAAAATATGTAAAAGTGGGCAACGCTGTGCTGATCAAGCTTAATCACGTGACTAAAAGGTTATTTGATATGAACTATATATAAGCAGTTAATGCATGGCAAAATACAGAGCGAGCAACAATGAGGTCAATTATATCAATTCATTGTCTTGATTTTTTGGCTTTGTTATTTGTGAAATCTATATATATTTAACAAGGTTATAAATTGAATATTACTTCGGATTTTTTACTACTAATTTCAAATGTATTTTATTTTATATTGGGTGCCTTCTAACAGACATTTCTTTAGAATAAAACTAGATTATTATACCTTAATATTCAATATTTATGTTGCGTCAGATCATCCCTCCTGGGTACACCACTGCAAATAGGTGGCAGGTAATTAAACAGGTACTACCGGTACTATGCTGCAGAACTGTAACCTGTGAACCAGTTGAACTTCGGCAGTAATCTTGACTGTGTGGGTAGAGTGTAAAAAAGACCTTTAATGCGTGCGAAAGATTAGAGTTAAAATACTCTAAAAAATAAAATTAATACTGAAAACAGGTGCCATATACGTGCGTGTAGTGCAGAGTGAAATCAGTCAATAAAATGGTTAGATTTTCGATAGTTGCTCAGATTTTGATTGTTGTGTTTGTATTGGTAAGGTTTTTCTTTTGATTTAAATATTATACAATTTTCTTGGTGTCACAATATCTTTAACTGTACTCAGAGGCGGGTTAGAAAGAGGGTTTAAGGTCTCCCAACTCTGTACAATTAAAGATCATAGACGTATAATTAGAAAAATACTAATTAAATTTCTGATTAAAAATTTCATTTATTTTGATTTATTATAACTTCGTCATTTTTTATGTTTATATTGCCATTGCTTTTCTTGTTTGTTTATTTTTATTTGTTATGTTAAATAAAGGTATGTTTTGGGTAAAAAAATACCTGGAAGTTGGACATAAAGTTGAACAAAGTAGTTTGCAAGAGATGAAAAACCAGGAGAGCTTGCAGTAATGGAGAATTTTTACTTTACCTTTAAGAAATAATAAACCTGAATTTATTTGAACATGCCCATTAACAAAAAAATATTGTTCTATTACAAAAAGTGTGTTTTGCTTATAAAAAAGTAGGGTTAGATTATCTGGGGGAAACTCAATAACAAAAATATCAGATACGCTACTGAAATATCTAAGTCAAATTGACGTATCCTAGTTATTTTTGACAGGTTGTAAATAAAAGCGAAAATGGAGGAAAAAAAAATATATATATATAGTATGTCCCCGGATTGTCTTTACAAGAGGAAAAACTCTTTTATTACTCACATTTTGAGAAAAATGTCCTAAAAATCAAAGGCGTATAATAGGGATTATAAAAATTGGCGCCGGGAGGCACGTATAGCCGCCCATACTAAAATATGTTAATAAAAAGTTGGTAGGCAGTTCTTTTAGTTTCAATTATCTCAAAAACTGCGACTTTGACTGATTTTGATGTTATTACAAATTTTGTTGCAAATATTATCCCTAATCTTAAATTGAAAACCGCGTTTCGCTAGCTACTGTAATTTTGGAGTTATGATTTTTTTAAATTTTTAACCCCCTCCCATACTCCCTTACCAACTCTCCACCCCCACCAAAAACTAATAGCCAGATTTTCGGGTGCCACAGTATTTTTGTGCCAAATTTAGTTAAAAATCGGTTTACCGGTTTTTGAGTTATCGTGTTACAGACGGACAGACAGACACACCATGAAAATATTTTTTATTTAGGTCATTTATGACCCAAATAACTCATTTTGAGTGAAATTAAAAAAACTTTTTTTTTGCCGATAAAAATGGCATATTAGGATATTAAAGGGAGTATATACACATACCGGAAAAATCTAGGGATATCATTTTATTAAAGTTAAAAATAAATGTTTTGAATAAACAACCACATATTTGTAGGCCGATTCTTTCTACTTCGATTGAAACAAAGTAGTCACACTAGTTATTTCTAAATTTGGGATATTTGCAGAAGTGTTTGTGTATTTTTTGTCAAATGTATAAAAAGCACCTAGTATCAATTGTTCGAATTTAACCTGTACTGGCTATGTTTTTATGATAACTGACCAGAATTCATTCAAATAACTCTGTTTAGTATTAAACGACATTATGGAGCGTAGACATCTTAACAGAGACGAAATGCTAAGGGCCATGGGTATGCACGAAGCTGGAATGCGCCAAATCGACGTAGCTAGAGCATTAAATACAACGCAAAGTAAAATATCGCGATTAAGTACACGCTACCTTGAAAGTGGTGATGTTGCTGAAAGGCACACAGGGCGACATCGCATTACTACCCCTCAGCAGGATCATTTTTTACAATTAAATGCTCGACGCCGACCGACTCTTACAGCACCAGAGCTTAGTTTAATTCTCCTGGAAACACATAATGTAACCGTTAGTCCTGACACTGTTCGCAATAGATTAAGATAGGTCAACTTAAGAAGCAGACGCCCCTGGAGAGCTCAACCCTTAACGAGAGGAAATCGAGAGGTACGATATTTATGGGCTCAAGATCATGTTCAGTGGTCGAATGAACAATGGGCCAATGTTCTCTTCACGGATGAGTCACGCTTTGGAATTCATCCGGATTTGAGAAGGCTTAGGGTATGGAGAGAACCGGGAAATCTTATTCGGTTGGATCATGTTCAGGAAGTGCACCCTTATCAAGGTGGAACAGTTATGGTCTGGGGAGGAGTCCAGTTAGGCCGAAAAACCGATATCGTTTTTCGTGAAAGGTTTCTAACAGGAATCACATATCGTGATTTAATTCTTGAGCCTGTCGTGTTACCATATGCCAATGATTTTGGGAGAAACTTCATTCTCATGCATGACAATGCACGGCCTCATACAGCCAGAGTGGTAAGTGAGTTTATCAATGCTCATCAATTAAACATCTTGCCCTGGCCGGCACAATCTCCTGACCTCAACCCCATCGAGCACGTATGGGACGCGGTCTAAAGAAGAATTTTGAGAATGGGTATGCCTCGTGAAACTCGTAGGGATCTGGTTCGGGCCGTGAATGCAGCGTGGCAGGCTGTACATCAAGAAGAGATCGACAACCTAATCAGGAGCATGGAGAGACGATGTAGAGCTGTAATAAACAGTAGAGGAGGCCATACCCTTTATTAAGTAAAAATGGTTTTATATATTTTTTTAATTCACAGTTTAGAAAGTTCAATAAAAATCAAAGTAAATTTGAAAAATTCGGTAAATTTCGCATTTTTATTTCCAATACGTCCTGTAAACTATTTGATTATTTTAATTTTATTATATCAGAAATGCAAATAATAAAATTACTGACGATGGCTGGATAAAATTGTAATATCCCTAGACTTTTCCGGTGTGTGTAGTACCTATAAGATCATTTTTGAATCCTGTTTTTTTAAGTATTTTCTATTTAGATTCAATACGGTGCAGAGATAGTTGTAAAATTATTTATTGATTTTTAGAAATGAGTATTAAATATTCACGTTTGAAATATCTAATTTTACAGTGATCATTAAGATACAATTTTAATTTAAACTTTGCGTTTATGGTTGATCATTAAAGTAAAATTTAAATTAACTATAATATACTAAATATACTATGTTATTTGCTAACTACATAAAGTTCATACTAATTAAACTTTTAGTCACGTGATTAAGCTTGACCGGTACAGTGTTGCCCACTTTTACATATTTTCTTTAAATCAAAATATTAGGGAAACAAAAATAAATTAATTATAAATATATAAACAGTTATTATTTACATCAACAAAACTCACCTCTTTAACAGCACTTAATAGGTCCCTTACTACCGCTTTTCCGTTCAAAATATTGTAGTAAGTTTTGGATGAGTTTTTGCAGAGCCTATTAATCTATCTTGTACCACTTAGAGGTTCTAAAAAGAACAATATTCGACTGCAAGAAAAAATTTAGCTTAAAATATCACAACAAAATTTTTTAAACCAAAACTCGTAATTCAAAACTAAAGTGAACGAATGACAACGTCAGGAAATAAATAAATAAATGTGACAATTTGACATTTCTTAGCAGAGCTACCACCTGAATCCCCAGCGGGAAATTCAAATTACAGTTGGTCAGCCCGGAGCCAAATATGTCTATGGTTGGCATCAATGAATTTAAAAATCGCGCCCTCGATTACGTAACTAAAAGTTTAGTTGGTATCGCTTATATTTCTTTGTCCAACTAAATGTTAAGTATTTAATAAATCAGTTAATTACTTAGTAATAATCGTTCTAAAGAAATAGAAAACATATAAACAATGGCAGTAGCCGTCCACTATTTTAAATCATAAATGTTCTTACTAGTCAGACTTTATATGGCCCTGTTTCATTGTTTAACAAATAGGTTGTTGGAGTACTTAATAATAATACCCTTATAAACTCCATTTTTATTACCCTTGTTGTTGTTAAATAGGAAAAGTTAAACTGAAGTGGTACCCTATAAGTACCGAGTATTTATAGCCAATTTTTATTATAGTTTTTGTTAGGGTAACCTGGCAGAGATAGCTTTATTATTGTTTCGTTCTTGTCAAGTGCTTACTATTTAGATGTTTGACGGCGCGGCGCCTTTTTTATTTTCTTGTTAAATAGTTTAAGATAACACTTCCTTTTTACCTGTTATACTATAACCGGTAATAACTGATATAGGGTTGGTGCATTTCAGTTGATTTCGACAACTTCCGACGGAAAAAATCTGAAATCTGAAGTCATGTCGATCGCATTAAAATAATATTGAAATCGTGATTTTGTCATAATATTTAAGTATTTTAGTTTTTGAGTATTGAGATTATAAAACACTCAGGTACGAGGTTTGTCTGATGTAACGCTGTTTCGGGTAGTAAAAAATAAGTGAAAAAGAATTGGAACTAGGCGTCGCACAGTGAGTAACGAAAACTAAAATAGTGGGACATTGGCATTTTTCTTCAGTTATCACTATTCTTGATGACATTTTTTGACAGAAATTAAATAATACGACTAGGAATTTTTGCTACAGGGCGAAAAGAGTAAAAAGGCGTAATGGAAGGTCAAAAAAAATAAGAAGTTTTATAAAAGGACTGTACAGGTATATTTTTTTATTTACGAAGAGTTTATAGCTCTTATGGACCAAAAACGTTATCATATTACTGTCGAACAATCATTTATCTCCCGCTAATATGTCAAAAACTCAATCAACATTCCTAAATATTCAAATAATCAGGGATAAATTAGATAAGACTGCAAAACTCAAAGAGAACGACACAAGTGGCAAATATCTTTTAACAGTATTAAATAATATGATAATATGCGCGAAAAAAACGTATTCAACTTCAACAAAGGAAACCATAATACACACCTCACAAAAATTTCCTTAACACTTATATTTTTGGTAGTATTTATTGTTTGAAACTGCTTCAAACATTTTATGTGAAAAACTTAAATCTAAGGTCTGCCTGAGTTATGATATACTTTCCATTCCTTAACAAGTTGCTATTAATGCAAATAACTTTTGAGATTATTGTTAACCAAAAGAATTTTTAAGAATACTTTGCAGTTTTCCAAATTAATAAGTGATGCGATAATTTATGTGGGGTGTATATTATTCCAAAATAACATAATATGTAAGGCACT